CCCTGCCTAAACTATTGGTCTGTTTCCATGGTGAAGTTGAGAGTGCTCTCAAGAAGCGGCTCCATCCCATAATAAGGGATGGCGGGCGCAGTGCCTGACATGGCAGTGATGATGAGCCCTATTCTCCCTGCAGCTCATTTCCATGGCAATGGCTGAATGAAATTTTGGTAATGGAGGGGTGGGCTCAGACTGGTAGGAGGGTCACATCTCTATTTTTCTCCCTTCTGCCTCAGTGTCTGACTTGTATCTGTCACTCTCATCAGACCATAAAGCAGTTATCATAATTATGATCGATGTTATTCTTTATGCAAATTCATCTTTCTTTTTTCTTTTTTTAAAGTAAGTTGGAAGTGATTTAACAGTGAAAGCCAAAGCCAGGCTCATGAATGACACGCAAGGATCGTAAAATGTATAAAAGGCAAAATCGCTAGCTTAAATATTGGGACGTCACAAAGCATTAATTTGAAAATGAGGTTTAATAAGTGGCTTCAAAAGGATGTCGAACACGTCTTTCTGGCCTTCTTGCAGTAAATGCTTTTCCTTGTACTGTGCTGTCTGGCTAAAAGAGCTCAGACTTGTTCACACTTTAAAAGGGCTAAATTATAGATGTCTCATCACTGTGGTTATATAAATGACCTCCGCTGCGAGCTCTCTCTTATACACACACACACACACACACACACACACACACACACCTCCCTCTTTTCTATTTATCACGCTCTCTCTCTCTCTCCCTCCCTCTCCCTCTTGTCTGTTAAATGACAGCAGTACATAGTGTACTTTTTTTCTCCCTTCAGCACCATGGGAACTGCTCATTCTGGATGTTTTTTCTGCAATGATACTGTCTTCAACAAAACTCCAAGATAAACTTAGAATATAATCTAAATGCACCAAAGGCTTGAAGTTCTGTGGCGGTTCAGCTTTGAAGGTGGATAATCGAGGATCTGTGCTTGCTTATTTTTGACAACTGTCCTGTAACAAGTGTGAATGCATTCGGGAAACCTGCATTTTGTATGAATGCAGCAGACCTATGACAAACGGAGGAACCAAAAATAAAAGTTTGTTTACTCTGTGCTCATCGTGATAGTTTGTTTTCAGATCCTGAATTTTTGATGAATTTGTCAAATGTTTGATACCAGGGTTCAGAACAGTCATACTCAATGTTCTTTATGTCTGGAAAGTTGTGTTTGACTTGAATCCAATTAGGCTACCAGTCTTCAGTCTCTGACTGAAGAAATGGTGAGTGATGTATTTCCAGTGGATCAACCTGTCACGATAATGGGAGGATTCATATTTAGTGGTGATTACATTGTCTTCTTGGCTTTCCGAAACTGCTGTCATTCATCTGGCTTCTGGCAGCTTGCTAGGCTCTGGGTTTTTTTGTTGTTGTTGTGGGTTTTTTTTTTTTTTTTGGGGGGGGGGGGTTTGCATCATTGTTACACCAAAGTTGAAGACAAGCAGAGACAGACCTCCCGAATAATTAGAACACATGCTGCTACAGTACATGCAGGAGCAGGTGGGCTGACATAGGGCTGCCACGATTAGTCGACTATCAAAATCGTCGACGACTGATTTAATAGTCGACGCGTCGTTTGAAGCTTTGTAAGATCCAAAAGACGCAGGAATAAGTAGCAGGATTTAAGAGTGTAATAACGGACTGAAACAGAAGATGGCAGCACTGCATGTACAAGGATGCCAGCTGCTGTTAAAGCCTGAAGAAGAAGAAGCTGTATCCCAGAATTCATAGCGCAGCCCTGCTAAGTTTACAACAATGGCGGCAGCTAGTTAGTTTTAATATTACTCTTATTACTCTTTCTGGGTCACAAAATAAATGTTTAACATATTTTCAGGCGAGAATGTAGCTGTGTAAACCTCAAATATCGGCTCAGTTTATCAGGACACCGCATATTTTCAAAAGCGCTCCGACGTTTTCGGAGACGTCTGTTACCCACTAGCTCGATAGCTAGCCGGGGTTCAAGGCTCACTAAAGCCCGTGAGAACACCGGACACCCGGCAAATCGTTTTCAGACCCACCGCCGTCTTTCGCTACTAAGGTTAATTAAATATATATAAGTCACTTAGATAACTTACAAATGTAATTGTTTGGCTTTTTTTAGTACTGAAAAAAGCCAAACAATAACATTTGTAAGTTATCTAAGTGACATATATCATGTTTAACCTAAGTAGTGAAAGACGATTTGCGTGAGCCTTGAACCCCGGCTAGCTATCGAGCTAGTGGGTAACAGACGTCTCCGAAATTGTGCGCTTTTGAAAATATGTGGTGTCTTGATAAACTGAGTAGATATTTGAAGTTTACACAGCTACTTTCTCACCTGAAAATATGTTAAACATTTATTTTGTGACCCAGAAAGAATAATAAGAGTAATATTAAAACTAACTAGCTGCCACCATTGTTGGAAACTAAGCAGGGCTGCGCTATGAATTCTGGGATAGGTTGGGCCACGAAGTATACACCCGACCCATCCTTCATATCTGAGGAAATAAAGGGCGCGTTTGTCGGCTGCATTTGTCGGAGTCTTCAAATTTGGACAGTCTTCGTCATGTCGCTGTAACGTAATTGGCCTACAAATACGGGCACAGGAGGATGCGGTTCCTGAATTTGGACACAGCAACAATACCGGATACAGCTTCTTCTTCTTCGGGATTTAACGGCAGCTGGCATCCTTGTACATGCAGTGCTGCCATCTTCTGTTTCAGTCCGTTATTACACTCTTAAATCCTACTACTTATTCCTGCGTCGTTTGGATCTTACAAAACTTCAAACGACGCGTCAACTATTAAATTAGTCGTAATCGTGACTAGTCGACTAATCGTAGCAGCCCTAGTCACAGCTAATTCAGTCATTGTCATATACACACAATGCTGATAAACATTGTCAGTCTGGTTTTGATCATTAATTTGTACTCTATACTTTTGTTAATCTAACTAAACATTAATAAAAACACAAGGTCAAAAATATTTGCACTTACAGGAAATTGATTTTCTAGTAGTGCTCCAAGGGCAAAAGAATTTTTGAAACAGAGCTAGCTACTGAAGAATTGTGTTTATCAAAGTTGTCTTGAGCATGTTCAAATGAATAAGCATGGTAATTTTAAAATGAGCTTTGTGGGGAGATTTGGAAATGTGTGTGAGTGCGTGAGAGGTTTCTACACTGCTCAAAAAAATTAAAGGAACACTTAGAGAGCACATGGAAAACAAATTCATACTAGATATCTATATGGACTGGATCGTTTGTTAGGAGCATAAGGATCGTTTAATGGGAATAAAAAGTATCAACCTACGGAGGGCTGATTTCAAGGACACCCTGAAAATCAGATTAAACAATTGAGGCATCAGGCTAGTCCATTCTGCCAGACTTTCATTGTAGTAATTCAGCAACTGAGGTACAACCTGGCAGCTGGACCGAAACATGATGACCTTGAGGTGTTATTTTGGATTGAGATCAGGCAAGTGTGGGGCACAGTCAGTGGTATCAATTCCTTCAGCCTCTAGAAACTGTCAACATACTCTTGCCAAATTAGGCTGGCCATTGTCGTGCACCAGGAGGACAAGCATGCACCGCACAAGCATGGCGTCATGTTGGGTTTGAGGATTTCATCCCAATACCCAATGCCAGTCAGGGTGCTGATGCCTAGCCTCGAGAGATCTCTGCATCCCTCCGTGGATATGCCACCCCAGACCACCAAACAGCAATCATGCTGAACAATGTTACCGACAGCATAATGTTCTCCACATCTTCTTCAGACCCTTTCAGGACAAAAGAAGAATAATTTTGCGACATAGCTAGCTACTGAAGGAGCTAGCTCAGGAAGACCTTTTCACATCTGTCACTTGTGGTCAGGGTTAACCTGCTCTCATCCGTGAAAAGCACAAGCCATTAGTGGTGGACCTGCTTATTCTGATATTCTATGGCAAATGCCAATCAGGGTAGAGGATGTCGGGCCCTCAGACCACCCTCATGAAGTCTCTTTCTGATTGTTTGGTTAGAGACATTCACACCAGTGGCCTGCTGGAGGTCATTTTGTAGCTCTGGTAGTGCGTATCCTGTTCCTCCTTGCACAAAGGAGCAGAAACCAGTTAAGAGCCTTCTATACCTCTTAATCCATCAACAGGGTTAAGAACCATAACAGGAGGGTGAGCTTGAACAATAGGCAAGCACCATTTGTTTGTGCAGAGAACAGAACCTGACCTACAGCCAGTAGGATATGTGACTATGAGCAAAAAGACCAGTTTTTGTTTCAGCCTGTAAACAACTTAATTCTGTTGTGAAGCTGTGAGAATTTAACAAGTTGTTAATGTTAAAAATCATGTTGCAGTTTTTAACTGTGTCTTATTAGCTTCATTTTCAGACCCAGAGATTACTGGTTAAGGTGAATTTGTATTTACTGATGGCATCAAAACCTGCAGAGTGTGAATGCAAGCAACTAATAGTTCAAGCAGCAAGGTGGATGTCTCAGCCGGATAATGATGTCAACCATGTTAGCCAAAAGATGCTTTTACAGAAGGCAGTTAATTCAAAGCAAAGATGCTAAAGGACATGAGACTAAACAGTAAAACACAATCGTTTCAGACTGAAAACTGTCCTTGGATGCAGCTTTCTGTCCTATTAGAGACAAATATATATATCTTTGTGTATTTGTGTTAATTATGTGCCACATATCAAACTATTTAGTGAAATTTTTACTTTGTTATTTAATACAGTTCATTTAATGTCAGCATACTCTAAAAATAGCCTGTGCATATGTAGATTGTTGCTCCACATTCTTTCTTTATAAATACCAATTTATGTGAGGATTTTTAAAACAAAAAAAACAAGCATATGCATGATTGTTGTGTATATACCTCACTTAGACATCCAGCCCGAAGTTTTATTAGTTTTTAGAAGTTGCTAGAGTTGCTTTTATTCTTGATCTGTTTGCTTCTGTCAAATATTTTTGGGAGATACTGTACATCTCTTTCTATCTCTGTTTCTCTCTTAGATGCTCCAGAGGGGGGTGAGAAGGGCTCAGGGGGTGCTGCACCAATTGGTGATGAACTGGATATCTTTGGACCAATGGTCTCCAACCCACTCCCCTCATCCAACAACACACAGCAGGCTCAGGTAATGCACTCTCTCTCTGTCTTTCATCAGCTGCTTATCACTGCAGGCAGGCTGCAACACACAGACTCTGCAGAGAAAACACACACAGCAAACACACCATCCGCCTTGTACGTGGCGACACACACTCTCTGAGGATCATATCAAAGCAAACCCCGTAGACTCTCTTTTATTGAATTAATTTGACCAGTGTCCTTCAAAGGAGAGTGTGTGTTTGTCTGACAGGGAGCAATAACGGCGAGCTGCTACAGTGAAGACAACAGCTGGGAGTGATGGAACACAAGCGAACGCCATCACTGAATTTGTTGTTTTCTTCTTTAAGATGGTATCTAATTAATGGCGATGAAAGACACTAAATAATTCAAATGTAGAATGACACAAAAATGTATAACACTACTTTTTACCTGTTGTTTGAATCTGTGACTGACCACAACCATATTGGTCAAAGATATGCCTGATAGGGAATAATAAAGATTGAAAGTACTTAGATTTAGTCCGGTCTCTCAAAAACTGGCATTTTAAAAGACCATTTTTCAGATTTTAATGATATCTGTCATAATTCAGAATACTAACAAATACTGTTTGAGGTTGAAAACGTCAGTTTCATAGCCTGGATCTGTCACCAGGTGCTACATGTTTATGTGAGCTACACAGTCTGAACTGTTCATGTGAGCTGTGTGTTCATCACTCTAGCCTTTTAATGTTTGGTAAACACATGTAATTGTTATGAGTGTTTGGAAAGTTGACTTCACATTCAGCTATTATAAATAATACATTTAGCAAAAAATGAGCAGTACAGTTGTGAAAAAGAGTTTTTACAGCAATGTGAAAAACTAGTGAAAAAGTACACTTTTGGTGTGTCCGTAGGAATTAAGAAGGTAAGTACAGGGTTCGCAATATCCCTGGTAGCCCTTCGGGCAGGCACTCTTCAGTTTTTGGTAGCCCAGAATAAATTTAAGTAGCCTGAGTAAAAAAAGAGAACAATTTTTTGATTGATGTTTTGTTTCCTTTACAATATTATACATTAAAGTATAATATTCCCAGTAACAAAGGCGCTTGTCGACTCAGACATCGAGGGAAACTCACAACACAGCTCGTCATATTCCAGCCACAGAAATTTGTTTGTCCATGAAACCAAAAAAAGCTGCGCTTTCTTTTTGCCTCATAGTCTGATTTGTCCTAACTTTTGCGTTTTTTGGTAATCTTTTCTTTGGCTGTCCCTTCTTCACCCTGACCTTTATTATTTCGCTCTGCAGAACTAAAATACCTGCGTAAATTCATCTGTCTTTACACATGCACACATAAGCTCAGCGATTCTCTGCGCAATCAACCTCTATCACATGTTTAAGCTTGTTGCCAGAGGTTTCACTTGTCACGTTTGAATAGTAAGCTACTGAGTGATAAGACGATGCCAGAGGAATTGGTGCGCAATTAATCTGTCACCCTCTGCCACTCCCTATACACAGTTCGCACGATCGCAAAGTGAAAGCAAAAAACAAGCGCAAATTCAAACACGATCTCAATATGTCACATATTGACAGTGGCTCATCGATGCCGATGGCATAATTACCCAGCTACATTTGCGAAAGAATGCAAAGCATTGACATATATTTTCCTTCCTATGACAGCAGGGCTGAGTTAGATTTTGGTAGCCCGACTGGAAGAATCGCTAATTCAATTATAGAAGAAATGCTGTTTTCTTTTAGTTTGTATTAATTAGGTCAAATTTGTTATCACAAACTGAGGAGGATGGTGATGTTGGGTTAGGGTTATAAAACAAACTTGCACAAACTAACTGAAACTAAACTGAATTAAAAACAAAAAGTTCAAACAAAATAAAAATAAAAACTAATAAAAAAAAACAAAACAGAATTATAATAACTCAAATAAGTTAATAGTCTCATTACATTTTCGTTACCAAGAAATCATGTGTGCCACCATGCACAGTCAACCCCAAAGATCTGAGCCTGGGAAAAGCCTGAAATATGCTCCATGAATACTCACCGGGGTTTAAAGAAAATAATTACCTTTTCAATCACGATGACAATATTGGTTAGAGATGTTGAAATGAAATATTTATGTGCTGTTTTTCTCAAATCATTAAGAGCATTTTTACATATTTCTGCAAAATAATTGAAACTTGGGAAGATGATTAAGGACGAGGAGAGAGCAAAAAAATAAAGTAAATGAAGGATGAAGAGCAGAGATGAAGCTGTTGTCCAGTGGGTGTCTGCAGCCATATTGGGATTTTTCATTCTCTGGGTAAACAAACAGGATGTTCATCAGAATGAGAACAAAAGAAAATTGGAAAAGAGGTTGATGCTTGACTTCATTTTTCCTCCTTTCCTCTGCTACTTTGTCAGCGACTGCTCTCATGAGGATGGGGAAGTTGTGTTGAATTAAACATTTTCAAGGAACTGTTCAGTTTAAAATGCGGTAGGCGTCTTTCAAGTGTGACCTTTGACCTTTGATTCACATGGAAATGAGAACTCACACTGTCAGGCAGAACCACATAATGTCTATTTATATAAATGGACAGTGTCTGCATACTTGCAGCAGCACAGTGCTACGTGTCAAATATACGGTAAACACACAGGTATGTCATGAACTGTAACCTTGGAACACCCACATACACTGAACCATCATAGTCAGTCACGGGAGAACACTCTCTGACCTGTTCTTAGGATTCAAATTGTACACCTCACTCTCTCACACACACGCACACCGCCGTGCCTCCTGGGGCAAGACCAGGCAGTGGCTCACAGGAAACCCAGGCATGAAGAACAATTATGGGCTTCTGTAACTGCAAGCTCTCCCTTTGCCACTACCAGCCTCCCACTTGCCCTATAATCTCCCCTCCATGCTCACCTCCTCTGTGACTCCATCTACTGCACTGGTGCTTCTGCCTCACACGTTGGCTTATTTCAATATATTCATGAATCACAGTTTGGTTTTTTGGGGGTTTTTTGCTCGGTCAGTGAAGCTCTGGTGTGGTTGCATGTAAAGCAGTGGATGCTGCTCTCCTTCAGGTCAAACAGGAAGAAAGGTGTCAGAGAGGACATGAAGACCATTAATGAGCTGATGTAAAGTAAACATAGCATTAGTGTTTGTGTAGGTCCTCAGGCATCCAGGTGGTGGTAGTCTCAGGAGCCTGAATAGAAGGCTACTCAACTTCTTTAAGGTTTTTTTCAAGATGATAAGAGGTGAAATGTCTGTTTAGAAAAAAAAAAACAAAGAAGTCCTGTCTTATTCTTTTCTTTTGCATGTTTCTTTTGCATTTCCCAGTTTGGAATCAAGCTTCTGCAAATTTGTTAGAGGCAATTTCTGGCAGTGTTTCTCACTTGGTAGAACAGCTTCAGCTCAGTGGGCCTTTATACTTTATAGGCATCACAGTTTCCATAAACAATATTGCCAAAGCTATAACAGTAGTTTATAGATTAATATCTAGTTTATATAAAGTATAATCTGTCCATATATGTAGGGGGCTCACAAAAATAATGATATTAGCAGTAATGTAGCAGTTAGAAAGCTATAGAAGTTTTTAAATTTCATCAAGTGTTTTAGGAAGAAATGAATTCCTGCCTTAACCCGGCTGTCAAACAGTCACCACGTATTGTGTTTACTTTTGTTTGCCTTGCTTCTTTAAACAGAGGAGCAGGCGTTTCTTCCTTGGTTCCCATTTTGTCGTTGCTGAGCCTGAATCTGTCTCTGCTTTCTATTCCTGATGCAGAAAATATCTAGACTCTGGAAAGTGCTTGAGTTGGCAGATATTGCAAAATATTTTCTTTATTATTTTTTTTCACATAGTTTTTTTTCACGATTGTGTTTAGAAGACATCGAATGCTGCAGTAACAGCTGCAGATATCAACAGCTTCGTTTTTATCATTAACCCCTCTAGGACATTATCTGCTCTGACAACAGCTGTAACTAACTATCCAATCAGATCAGAGAACAGAATGATATTCGGTAACTTAAAGTGACGATAGGTGAGAGAAAGGTAGCACAAAGTCGGCCGCGCAAACATCATAATCCATGGAGACTTCTGCCTAACCTCGTCTGTCAGCCTGTCTGTTATTACTGCAAACATGAAGGGGCTCAGAGCCAGTCTCTGATGCAACCCCACCCCACCTTAAACCCATCTGTCACTCCTACCACACATTTCACCACTATCTCACTCTCATCATACACGTCACATACTTTTCTGCTGCTCCTGACTTCCTCATGCAGTACCACAGTTCCTCTAGTTGCTTTCTCTCGAATGTGTCTATAGAGACACGCCAGACCTTCTCTGCACTCCTCCATCAACACTCTCTCAGCAAACATCACATCTGTAGTGCCTTTTCTCAGCATGAAGCCATACTGCTGCTCACTGATCGTCACCTCTCTTCTTAACCTAGCGTCAGCCTCTCTCCCATATCAACTTTACCTCTCTGCACATCACCCTTCATCACTACCAGTACACTTCTTCTCAATTCCTCAGGTGTCCTCTCGCTCTCCAGGGTTGTATTAACAATCTGGTTAAAAGGTCCACTGCTGTCTCTCATAGACATCTCCTAGCATCCTGGTACTCCTGTCTAATTTCTTCTTCTCCGTGACAATCGCACTTTTTCATTTTCCTTAAATTTTTTCTCTGTACTTCCTCATTCCTCCATTTAGTGTCCTTGTCTTCTTTCCTCTGTCCAGAGGATACACAACATACCTTCCCTGTATTCTCCCTCGTTTTAGTTGTACTTTCCCAGACAACTAGCAACTCTTCCCTACGACCTGAAGCTTGTCTCAACTTCTTCCTGAACTCTTTACAACCTTCTTCCTCATATCCTTATGTCTGTTATTTGGTTTTGACTAGTTGGAGTTTGAATTAATAATAATTGACAACTTTACAGCCACTATTATAAAAATCAATTATCTAAAATTCAATTTCATCCTTGCTACTTCAAACGTACACTGTAGATATCTGTTCACACATTGCTTTGGAAATAAAAATTTATTTCTGTCAAGTAATG